TTTACTTGTTTCGCATTGGTTCGAAAAATAATTAAAACGTTTTGTCTTTGGACAAAAACTAAGACACTATATATATCAATAAATGTCTTAAAAATAAGGCCAAAAGTGTCTTAAAGTAAGACATCTGTTTTTTTATAGTGTATATACGAAATTCTCTTTTTCTTTTGTATAAGAAAGGAAAAAACCTCACAGGATGAACCATTTCAAGTCAGGGCAAATATCCGGCACTTGCAAACATTAAAAAGAAAAAAAAAAAAGTTTAAATCCACTGGCGGGATGAAATGCAGAAAAGTGAAACAAACCAAAAAAAAAAAAAAAAAGTAACAACAGATACCAAAAAAGGAGGCAACGATAAACGGATGGGTTAAAGAGAGAAAGAGAGGACAAGAAGAGAAGAAGGGAAGAGTGGAGAAGAGAGGAGGATGAGATCCGCCGGAAAAATATAACCTGTTGGACCGCGAAAGCGTCGCGTTAGAAGGAAAGAGAGAGAGAGAGAGAAAGAGAGAAGCTGAAGGGAAAAGCTGCGGACGGATAGAGAAAGAGAAAAAATAAAAAAATAGAGACAGAAACACGAATAGATAAAAAATAAGAGGAAGAGAGAGGGGGAAGCGAGAGAGAAAAAGTGGGGGAGGGAGAAACTAGAGAGGTGGGAGGACAAACCCCGAACCTACCTTAATTTTCTATAACTATATGTATATATATAATCGCAATTCGATTCTTATTTGATTTAGAATCCCGCGCTTCTAATCTACACATTAAGACAATTAGGGGACGAACCCTTCGGTTAATATTCCTCAAGCCAATTTCACAAACCAAAATCGATGTAATTTAATCTTGCCTCTAATTTTAGAGGTGGGAATACGGTAGTCCTTCTCCCTCTCTACCTCTCTCTTCTTCACTAAGTGTCCGCTCTTAAATTCGCGCAACGCCTCTAATTTAGGGATATATATTATTATTAATTTATACTTGACCCCCGTTAGAGGTAATACACACTCATAAATAGATGTGTCTTAAAAATATTTCTAATATCCCACACTGAAAAAAAAATTCTGGTTAGGCTATATTTAACATTACTTTCTAGTTATGTTAACCAGAATTCTAGTTGAATTAACGAGAATTCTCGTTAAAATAACCAGAATTCTGGTTAACCTAACTAGAATCAAAATGTTAAATATACCCTAACCAGAATTCTGGTTATTCTAACTAGAATTTTTTTTCAGTGTAAGACACGCTTGCAAATTTGGAACTTATAAAATTCGTAAAAATTTTAAATTTTCTTAAACTAAGACATTTTTATTTGGACATTATAAAATATTCCAAAATAAGACATATATTTAATTTAGTGTCTTAATTTTATAGATTTTTGGTACTAAAGACACTAAAATTACTGTCAACATATATATTAGAAACTAGAACAGTCACTAATATAGAAATATCTCAAAATAAGAAATATGCTTTTAGTGTCTTAAAAGTGTCTTAATTATATACAAATTTCGGAATAAGACACTAATTGTTAATTCGAAACATTGTAAAAGGACATGACTTATTTTGAGGTGTTTTAGTGTCTTAGAAAAATATTTTTACAATGTCTTTAAAGTGTCTTGATTTAAGACACTTACGGTAATTAAGACACTTGTAGTTTTTAAGACAGTAAAATGTTCTAAAAGAAGAAAACTCATTTTTCAATGTCTTAAAAGTGTCATTGATTTATGACACTGTATTTAAGACACTTACGGTATTTAAGACACTAGTGGTATTTGAAACAGTAAAGTCTTAAAATAAAAAAGTCTTATATATATGCCTTAAATATATGTCTTAATTTAAGACAGTGAAATGTCTTAAAAGAAGTAAACGCTTTTTATGATTATTGAGAAGAAAAAAAATAAAATTTTTTTTTTTAAATTTAATTTTTTTTTTAAATTAAAAAAAAACATTTTAAAAAGATTTAAATAATAAGGTGAAATATATTGTGACATATAATAAACATGTATATTTGTGGCGTGAGTTATATAGACAACCAATTAGCAACCGTTTATTACCCTCTTGTCATCTTAGACCTTTTAAATAAAGGCATCCAACCTGTGTTCTTTTCAAAAGTTTAGTCAAGACGCTTGTAAATACATTTTCCCAGGTAAGGCTTTTAATGCCAATACAAACAAATTTTCTTGACAAAAGAATCCAGAAAATCTCCTATACTGAATAACAATGTTCCCAAATGATTAATGAAAAAAAAATATCATTAGAACAGACATGAAGAACCAATTTTTCGTTATGATAGTTAACACCTTTTCTTGGGGAGGGGGGGAACTAATATTTTTTTTTATGAAAAATACTTAAATACTGAAAATTATATTATTATTATTATTATTATTATTATATTATATTATTTTATATTATTTTATATTATATTTATTTGATTTCAAGTTTTTTTTTAAAAAAGCATGGATTTTTTCACAATTCAATATTTTATTTTTTGATAAAAGCAAAGTTGTCAAATAATCGAAAAAAAAAATATGTCAAATAAAAAACAATAATTTATTGATATCAAATTTCCGAAAAATAAAATTCGATGATAATACCTCGTCGTGTGTATCTATATATATATATTGAAAATTGAATAAAAATTCACCATTTTTTTTTTATTTTTATTTTATTTTTTTTCACCAACTTCCACTCTTTGCATTCAATTGGAACATTATTTTCAGCAATTGCGAGGTACTCGGAAATATAGTATATATCGGGGCACAGAGGATTTTTTTTTTCCAGCAGCGTGCTTTCGAGTTCGCGGCGGGAATTTTAAAGTTTGTCGATATATACATTTACCCGCGGCACATTTGCGCTCGGTGCAAATTGTTCGTGCAGCTCGTATTTCATCGATGAAAACGCCGCTGGTAGCTGCCAACGTGATTTCGATGGAAGAAGAGTGGGAGAGAGAGAGAGAAAGAGAGAGAGAAAAAAAGGGAAAAAAAGAATAATAAATAAAAAAAACAGAGAGAGAGAGAGAGAGCACAAAACAAAATATTAACCTCCCAAAAGTGTGTGCACGCTTCATGAATTTATCGATAGACACCAATGTTGACACGATCCTATAAATCAAATTCGCAAAATGTTTCTCAAAATCACAATACTTCTTTTTTTCTTGATGACATACTAAATAGAAAAAAAAATATGAATTTTAAAACTGTGTCATTTTTTTCTTTTTTTTATTCATAAACATTTATAATAATAATTATTATAATAATAAAAGAATAATAATAATAATAGTATGCAATAATAAACATTTGAAAAAGTACTTTAAAAAATCTGTAACTTTTTTTACCGTTTTTTAATTCGATAATTTGTATTATTTGAATATTTTAATTATTAACATTAGAAAAAAATATATAGAATCAATAATATACAAGTTGAGTTTAAATTTTTTTTTTTTTTTAATTAAAAATTTATTTTTACATTCTTATTATAATTTATAGAAAATATTAAATTTTGTCGATTTTTGACTTTTTTTAAATCCTATGATTTTTTTTCACGTTTTAAGAGCTCCTAAAAACTTTAATATTACAATTGAATAAAAATTAAAAGAAAAAAATTATCAAAATTTTATAGGTTATGTTGTAATAATGAATTTTCAATTTAAATATTGATAGATTATACAACATTCTACTTTACCGACTATAATTATATTGACAGTTTATGAAATATAACCTAAAATATGTAATATATTTTACCAAAAACTTATTGAAACTTTGCCATTAAATTTTTGAAAAACTACGATCAATACTAGAGAAAAAAAATCAATATTAATATTGATAAAAAATATAATATAATAATAATATGTATAATAATAACTCGGAATGATTAATAAAATTTTCTATTTTCTTTGAAACTTTTACCGACTAATTAATTCAAAAATTTATAAATAATAATAATAGTAAATTCCTTTTTTTTATAAAAAAGAAAATATGAAAAATAATAAAGAATTTTTCCAAATTTGATAAAATAACATAATCTGTAAAAGCGCAAGGTCTTTTCATTTTATGAAAATTATTGTTTAACATTTGTTATCTCAAAATATAATTTTTGTTTGAAAATTATATAAATGGATTTTTCAAAATTTTCGATAAAATCAATTTGAATTTATTTGATTCTAATATATTATATTATTTATTAATAATTTTATTATTTAGTTTAGTTTTATTTCATGTTAAAAACAACCTTTTTTAAATTTAAGGTTATGTCAGTGACACATAAATTCAAAGTTTCAAAAATTAAATTTCCCCTAACTTAAAAATAATAGAAAAAAACTTCACACACTACTTTTCCGTTTTTATTTAGGTATTTTTTACATGGCCTTAAACGATAATAAAATACAATTTTAAAAAAATAACAATAATAAAAATAAAAACCACTAATATTAATAATAAACAATAATAATAATAATAAATTTCGAAATAAAATCGAAGTATTCCATTCATAACCTAACTTCTTTCATAACTCTCTTTAATAATCTATAATCAATAACATTTTCTTTAACTTTTGATTTATTTTTTCAGATTTAAGGTCAATATTACTTTTTTAATCTTGTAAAAGATATCATAAAACCTAATGAGAATTGCTTTTACGAATCGAAAAAATTATATTTCACTATCGTTTAAGGTCATGTAAAAAAAAATACGTAAAGAAAAAATAATAGTTGAAAGATAAAAACTCTTTTCTTTCATACACGAAATTTGTCATTAGTTTCGAATTTTTCTTTATAATAAAACGAAAAAAAAATACATACTCTGAACTTGTATCGTGCAAATTAGAGAGAATGAGATGGCAAAGAAGTAAAAGAAGAGGGAGAGGGAAATTGTCGAGTGGGGGAAATAGTAAAGTTGAATAGAAATGCAGCGCGAAATGTGCAAAGAGTATATATATATAGAGAGAGAGAGAGAGAGAGAAGAAAAAAAAAAGTAGTCATAATGTTTTCAAAGCGAGTTAGAGGGAGAGAGAAAACTCACCTTGTGGTGCTGCATGATGGCAGTGGCCTTTCGCTTCGCGGACATATTCAGGCCTCCTGTCCTCGCGTTGAGCGGAAAATCCTCGCTCCGCTTCTCGTCCGCTGAGAGAGCCTCTCTGACGCACCGCACACAAACCAATCACGCGCTCCTCCCGGTTGGTCGCTCGCGAGAGAGAAAGAGCAAAACAAAAAGCTCGGAAACAAAACAAGTGCCACCACACCGTTTTGTCTTAACACATGGCCTCCTTGCACTACCGTTGCTATGTATATATATATTATAATATCTTTTTTTCAGTTCAGAAAATCTCTTTTCTTTACTGTAGTAGAAAAAAAAAATTTTTACACTTTTTTTTTGAAAAAAAAAACACTTTTTATCCCTTTTTTCACAATTTTTGTTTTTTTTTTTTTTGACGAATAATCACTTCACTAATTTTTCTCGTCTCGAGTGGACGAAAAAAAAAGAATAATCCAATAGGTTATGTTTGTTTTTCTGTGATTCTTTTGGAAAAAATAAAAAAAAAATAGTAAACTTTACTTATTCGGAGAATTTCGAGAAGGATTTTTAATAGAAAGATCCTCACGTAACGAGCGCTCACGGCAAACTGGCGACGCGACGGCGACCCCCCCACTCTCTTTGCGCCCCACCTCTCTTTCTCTCTCGTCTCCCGTTACCCCTTCTCATCCTCCCGCGCTTTCCCCTTCCTCTTCCCTCACTTTGGCAGCCCCATCACAGAGAACGGTAAGGTAGGGTCTCTCTCTCTCTCTGTCACCGTTGGAACATTGAAGAGGAGAGACGGGAGGGGGGTGCGTTGGGTGGGTAACCCAACGGATGGGTAGAGAGGGCAGTACGGGGGAATGGGAACCAAAAGCCTTGAGGGGAGTGGGGGAGGGGAACTCGAGAGGGGCCAAGGGGCGCCAGCACTCATCGGCCAAAAGGGGCTTCTCCGCACGGATGTGTCGGGGAGTTTTTGGGGGGGTTCTCCCCTTGTATATATATATATATGTGTGTGTACACCAACGAAAACGTGCATGAGGCTTTATTTCGCCTCGAGTCACGTCCCCTACGAATTTCCCATTTTCTGGTTTTACTCTCTTTTTCTCTTTCTCTCTGTCTGAAAAAGAACGAGAGAGATGGAACGAGAAGGAAACTCGAGAGAACCTGGGAAATACGAAATTTTCGTTGGGGGTTTTATTGCAACGAAGGGGTTTCCAGAGAGAGAGAGAGAGAGAGAGTCGCGCACATGGAATATTATTCCCCTGCAGTTTTATCATCTCACAATAAGAAAACTTTAGGCTGTGTATATATATTAGTCCGTGAATGGATATATGGAGAAAAAAAAATTCTTTTTCTCTTCTAAATTGTGAGCCAAAATAATTTTTTTTCTAAATTGATATTTTTAACGAAATAATTATTTTATATTATTTTTAATTATATTGTTATTATTAATTTTTTGTTTAGCATATAATTACTGGTTAATAGAAAATTATTTTTGAATTTTCTTTTTTTATTTCAGAAATAAAATTTCTTATCAGAGGTTCTACTAGAGGGTGAAAAATTATTTTTCCTGTAACCGATGATATAGCTCGAGCGGTGAAGTACCTTGGCTTGCGATCATTGAAGTTAAGCACAGCTGAGTACGGTTAGTACTTGGATGGGTGACTGCCTTGGTGCTCGCAATATTTTTCTGGTGTTTTTTCACTGCAATTGAGGTATATCAAGGTTACCCATCAGTCAAAATTCATTAAAGCTATTCTACAATAGTTTCTTTACATCGTTAATTTAAGGCTATTCTGCAATAGTATCTCTACATCGGTAATTTAAGGCTGTTCTGCAGTAGTTTCTCTACATCGTTAATTTAAGGCTATTCTGCAATAGTATCTCTACATCGATAATTTAAGGCTGTTCTGCAGTAGTTTCTCTACATCGGTAATTTAAGGCTGATCTGCAGTAGTTTCTGTACATCGGTAATTTAAGGTTGTTCTGCAATAGTTTCTGTACATCGGTAATTTAAGGCTGTTCTGAAATAGTTTCTTTACACCAGTAATTTACGGCTGTTCTGCAATAGTTTCTCTACATCAGTAATTTTGAAAATTTCCCAGAAAATAAAATTACGTAAATTACGAAACGACGATACAAATTTGGCATAAATTTTAGAAAACCTATTGTTGGGTTGGAAGGTTATTTGTCCAGTGGCGCATTTGAGTAGTTACCAAGGACGTGTTTGTTTAAAATAAATATCGAAAATGTATATTCACAACTCGACTGTCAATAGAAACCGGCTGTTCTCGGGTGAGGTTTTTCTGTAGTTTTCCTGTGTCCCCTTGGCCGAAAGTTCATAGGCAAATACGAGTATTTCTAATGATGTCGGGTCTACAGCTGCAAGTATTAACAAGGTTAGTATTAAAAAGGATTTGTCTATATAAATGTATTATTTCTAAGGTTGGAATGTAAAAAAATGTCTTGCAAAATATCTACTAATTTACTAATATACTATCATACTATTACTACAAATACTACTAATCTAATTAGTTTGAGGTTATGTTCATTCAAAATCTCAACCATTTACATGACATTTTGATAATAATAATAATAATAATAATAACAACAAAATAATAATAATAAAAATAATAATTACAAAAAATAGCAATAATAATAATAATATAGAGAAATGCCGGGTACGGTTGTAACATTTTTTTGTTCTTTGGCCATATACAGTAATTATATATATTATTGATAAATAATTGAAAGAAATTTAAAAAAAAATATATAAAAATTTGATTTTATACATTAAATTAAAATTAATTCATCTTTTTGTTTCAGATTAAATCGATCAAAAAGACAACAGTGATTTTGTGAAGTAAAAAAAAAGTACATAGTATTAAGGAAAACAAATTGAAATTTAGCATATTTGCAAGGGAGTTTATTTCCCGGCTCACTATATTCAGTCTTATCAATATGGAAATCTATAGAAATTGTGAGGTCACAAGTATATATAGTCGACACTTCACAGTGGGATCTTATATATATGTATAGAGTCAATTTATTGGCGAAGTGTTCGATTCTCGAATTTACGCACTTCCTGGCGTCACTTGACGTGAACAAGGATTCTTGATGAAAGATATGTATACCTTCAAAGTAGATATACCGTTAAAGGTCTCAAGAAGCGCCTTCATCGACTGCGAAAGGAATAAACGATTCAACTCAGGCAGCAATAGGCATCGCGCAGGATCATAAGGAAAAAGGACCCAGGAAATTTATGAGAAATGAGCAACTTATATTGAAGTTGCTCATAAAATACTACTTTTTCTTTTTTTCTCAAGATTTTTACGATTGCTGCCTTTGGACGGTATGTACCTTTTTTTACACATTATATAATATATATCTCTACACTTGACTTGTTACTTATTGTCCAACAGATGTTACTTTAATATCAAATTTTTACTCTGTACTTTCAAGTCTCACTAAAAAAAAATTATCAAAATTTCTTTGAAATAAGTAATTTCATTTTATTCACATTTAGAATTCTAGATATCGTGAAAATTGGATCCAATAATCTACTAAAACTTCTCATCGTTTTCCTTTTTCTTTTTTTTTTATCCTGAGTCATCAGCTGCGAATATATATATAGAGTATGCAAGAGAGAAAGGTGAATTATTTTTTTATTTCCTTCCCGCGAGGTAGAATCACCCCTATCGTGTCAGTCGCTAGTCGATAACGATCTAAGCAACAGTTTGCCCCAAGGGGGGAAGTATACACACAAGCAAAGAAGCTTCGCGCAAGAGCATAAAAAACATTCAACTTTCCCGCAGGGAGTTTCAAGGATGCCTTTTAGATTTAGACATCGACGTAAAGTGTAAACTTGAGACCCACTTAATACTTACAATCAGCTTCCAAAGTCAGAGAGTGAGACTTCCCTAAAGCCTTAAGTCGCTTTACAACTATAATATGCCTTGCGTTTGAAACATGTTACAACATTAGTGAATTTCACAAATTATATAAATCCAAGGTAAAACATTTTCTTTTACTAATTTTCTTATTCTTTTGTTTTAGATGGAGCAGTAGCAAGAGTAGTTATTAGAAAACTAAATCGTAATTTTGATATTAAGAAAAAAGGCATATTTTTTCGATTCAAAAAGAGGGAGACATAGAGTCATCTCTTTCGATCGAACAAAGTAGACAACCCTGGTTTCCCGAAGCCTTGGGCTGTGGTCCCCTACCCTTTTTTTTGCTTTGGCACCCCTATGGATCTACGTTTCTACGTTCACCCCATTTTCCCCCTTTTGCAAGAGAGACCAAGCTCTCTTCGACCATCCACCCCCTCACCCTTTGCCTTCACCGCACCTCATGTCAGACCCTCCGTGTGTCTATATATTTCTCTCCAGTTCCATAGACGGAAAAGACCGAGAAGTGAGTGTGTGAGAGAGAGACCCTTTCCCCTTGCTTGAAAAAAAAGAACCCAAGTCCAGTGTGGGCGCAACGGGAGATTTCTCCCTTCGTCTCCTTTCACCCTCTTGTCATTGCTCTTGCTCCCCCAGAACTCCCCCCTCCCACTTTCCTCCTATAGTCGACTCACTCAAGTACCTCATCGTGCTATACCTTTTCTAACCATTCGCTCCTGGGTGTCTATAGTGACTCTCAACCTATTTATGTTCCATGTGTGACTAGGTCTCACGAATTCAATATTTCACCGAATTCATTAACAACGGTTTGAAGAGGGGGTATTTAAGTTGAGATCGTGCTGGTATATTTCAAATTATCAAGAGAATTCTTTTTTTAATTCTGCTACAATTGTAGAATAATGTATTAGAACATTACAATAATTACCGAATTGTTATTCATTTGTTACAGAACAATATTTGGCAGAAAAATTTGGGGAGGAATTTTAAAATAAACCAATTAGAATAATTATCTACGTAATTATAATTGGTTAATTCTAAAATTCACGCCGAAATCTTTCTGTCGCATTTCGGGCAAATTCGGCTAGAAAAGAATTTTTCTAATATAATTTTTGTAATTCATTTCATGTTTCAGATTCACTTTTGGTGCGAGAACGCAAACAATCAAGAAAAAAAGAAATAATCGATGACGAAGCAGTAGCTGAAAAGGTGGTTTTTTAGAAAACTCAATCGTAATTGTAAAATAATATATTCAGTTTCTAAAAGAAACATTAATCATCGAAATCAACTAATTCTATTTAGATTTCTGTTTTTCTTTAAATTTAAAATCTAATACAGTGACAAAAGTTTATGCGATTCGAATGTGATTAGTGCGCTGTATTGTATTTAGTGGCTAAAAGCAAATGTTTCATACTAGATAATGAATAATTGGAGAAATATATGAGGGAACAGGGAAATATTTTAAAGTGGTGTAGAACTTCGCCAACCTGGCCCTGACCTGGCTGAAACAGGGAACCCTACCGGTGCCAAACCAGGCCCTGGCTTTAATCGGACTGAAATAGGGCTTTTTTGTGGCCCCGATCGGGTTCCCTGTTTCATGCGAATTTGCAGCTTCCTGACGTGGGCCTTTTAAAATTTCTCCACGTGATTCGTTGGGATTTTTACTTAATAGAATTTCTTTAGAGAGAATTTTCTTTTATCCGAATTATTTTTTTGAAAG